AGGTGCGTTCCAATGAGTCTTCCTACCAATATGACCATGTTGCGAAAACAAGGTCAAACAACCTCTGTTCGTGTCTATTGCCTATGAATTACCAACATGCCCTATTTATCAATCTATTTTGGTACCATGACTCTGATTTGCTCGTATAAGGCTAATTAACTATTTTCCAGTAGGAGAAAGTTGTCGTCTGCGGCTAGTTTCTAAAATAAAGGGCTCTAGGTTTTCGCTAAGTTTTGCATCTAGCCCATACTATATATGTTACAAACGAAATGAAGAGGGAATTCCAAAGAGTAGGCATATTGAGCGAATGATTTCACCAAACTATTTGCACATTTCAGACATTTTCCAAACCTTAGCGGCACAACTCAGTGTATCCGGTGCACTTTATTCTGAGCATTCCCATGCTATAATTATATTTCAATTACAGACGTTAGCTGAGAGTATCCTGTTTCGTCTTTATTATCTTTCAAGGAGTCTTGGGTGGTAAACTCGAGTGGTTCATTTGCGTTGTCTTAACTCCTGAATAATCGAGAGGCGCTGTACTACCCACAGGTGACAACCCTACCAGTATTAGGTCGAAATTGCTGTCCTGTCGGTATGTCATAGCGTAGAAGAATCAAATTCAACAAAAATCAAGCTCATTTGTGAATTACTTGTGGTCAGCTCTACCTAATTCCGCAAAACCCGAGGAACAACGATGAACTCAAACCAAACAACATCCCCTAAAATGGAAAATAAGTCAGTCATTGTAGCGATCAGACAGTTTCTCATCCATGGCTTTCTATTTTAATGGACGCGTTTCTATGAAATACTTTACACGGGAGACCTGAGTCCAGCAAAGTGGAGTGGCTTACAATCTTAAAGTACTTAACTCTTGTTCAAACATTCCAAAAGCACAGTAGCCTAATGAAATTGGACTAAGCGGTATTTGGTGCGAAGATGATGGCCGGTCTGGGCAGCCAACAATCACTTACCGAGATAATGCTAGTAAATCTTCTGTCCTAACTAATTATTAATTAAAGATTAGGTACATTTGTGACAGTCAGAATCACCTGTCGAGTGACTTCTCTATCGGAAGAGGCACATAAGGCCTCTCCTAAATGTATCTGACAAAAGCTGAAAACTAAAAGGCAGATGTGAAATGAGGTTCAATTTATTTTTTGGAACGGTCTAGGCAGGTGGTTTCATGTTTTCCAAACAACATCTCCCCACATATGCCAAGAGCCTGCAATAATTAAGTTTTTTTCAATTTGCGGAGCATCAATTAATCATTTGGATCCCATACAACGGGGTTATTTGTGGCGTGGAAACGAATACACCTACCGCTGACGAATATTTTGTCAGTCATGGTGACATTTTTTGGATGCACAAGGAGTGTTGGCGACCGACTACGTTCACCAAAGGCCAGAGAACACTGGCAAGTAAAAAGCGGAATCGATGAAGAGGAAGCTCGGTAAGAAATACCACACACACATCTGCCACGTTAAGTGTCCATCTACAGAAAGATTGACCAATTACCCATCATTGGAACAACGGACACGACCAGACTTTATCTATGGAAATCACCCCAGCGGGTTCAACGACCCTCCTCCAAAATCGACCGACGATCAAGTATGCAAGTAGATGTGAATACAAAAATAACGAGATCTCCGTCATAGAAGCCATGATAGCCTCAGGCACCAGAACGCCATACCATTGCAATGGTTACATTCTACGAGGCTTGTCTGTTCGACAAAACCGCGGAGGCAAGATCAAGCCACTATGCCATGCATGTCCGCTTAAGCGGTCGCCCCCCTTCCGCTATATTTGTGATCACAGGCCTGTCGTCGAGACGCTAAAGCGCAAAAACTCGTGATCCAATCGCAGAGATTGTTAGTCCTACCGAA